ACCCATGTCATTCACTGTTCACTTTGTCGATCAGCGCTCACCTCAGGGGGTAATCATTGAAACTAGTGCTCCAAACTATCGAATAGAATGCCGGTGTCATTCATTTGCGCTCAGAGTTTGTAGTATTTGGATTTCCATATAACCAAACGTTGTTTCTGCTCTCACGATTGATTCATTCAAACACAAAGTGGATGAAACATTGCCATGTCTTGAATTTCGACATCCATAGCAGTACACGAAACAACGCAAATTTGTGATATTCCTCATCTCTATGATCATCGGCAAATCAATCCAGTGGTGTGAAAAACCTCGTGGAACAACAAAACCAACCGCTTGTATGTATTTCACCTGATGAAACTTCGACTTTGACACTCGTACAGCAAACTGCTGTAAATAGTTGTTCCACTGCAATTACTGAGCTTTAATGTAACGCCCCATCAGATTCACCACACAGACTGCTATGTTCCAACAGCGACATTCTGCGTTAACGGTCCATGGTCAGATAGGACTGGTGAGCATACCTTATCTTCATGTTCGGTTGCTCACCGGTTTGGGCGCTTGGAGTACACACGTTTTTGTCCCTAACGAAATGACATTTTTAATGCAGTAATTTGCGTACTTTTTTACCACTCCTCCCCGATTGAAATGAGATCGTGAGTAGGACCAACCAGATCATCTAACAGCATTTCATACTTCGAAAGTTGAAAATGCATGGCCGCAATATCTGTAGTAGCACAGAAACTATCCAGAAAAACCTGTAACTCAGCGGTACAATGTCGTCCGTGTATTCCAGATCAGACAACCTGCTGTCGGGGAGCATATCGACACCCAAATCATCTGAAGATGAAAGAACCCTCTCTAAGTAATATCCATCAGAATGTTGAGAAGCAAAGGGACAGAAGATAAACTCTGGTGAAAATCTCATTTTGTGGTGAATCCGGTCAAAAAGCGGCCGTGAAGTCGCTAAACTTTGCTCATTCATTAATACTGAACTAAACTATAACCTCTCCATTACATCCTCCGATAAGAGTTCAGTGCTGTCGACGAACCCTAAATTCGTTATCAGATAACAATGGTTGGCAAATTGAAGCAGTCTGCACTCTCAAAATTTCACCCGTTACAAGGAAGTTAGGCTTGATAATCCTACTGTGTTCAACACAATTTGTGTGAACGCATTCGTTTAAAATTGACTGCGTTCCTTACATGAATTTCCCTTCAGGAAACCGCTCTAGAAATGATAATAAGCGGATCGCCCATCGCTTCAGATTTTGTTTTCAAGTAAGTCTTATGAAATTTGGTGCGAAATATTCCCTTTTTATTGTTCAAACCACATAGAAGGTGAATGTTCCACTTAAAATGCTCAATAGTGCTGTCTGGGAAATCTGTTTTTCAGGTGCCATTTTTAATTTGCTAAATCATTCAGTGCACCAAGTTTATGTGGCATTGTGAGCGCGTGCACTGTGTCCTGAAAGAATCAATGACTTTCGTGATTGTTCAAAACTATTTCGCACATTGTCCCACTCGATTTTTTCGCAGTTTTTTAATGATAGCACATGTTCAACTCCTAGTTTTCCATCTGATGCATTGCCAAAAGTAACTATCATTAGTCTTAATTCTTTACATCGTATTTCGACAGTGCCGGGTTACATGATCGATGAACGACCCACTGTGGACGATGCAAGAGATCGCACTGTATGGGTTCGTATGTTCACTTTAATGCCGTATTAAGCAGAGACAGTAATCATTTGATTCGAACGCCATGTTTTCATTTGCGTTGCAGAAGAAATTGTTTTTTGTGTTTCCATGACCTAACAGGCGATTGACTAATGTCGCTTGTTTGTCAAAAGATAGGTGATATCGACGTGTCAAACCCGAACAACGTTCGGAGTGTATCGAAAAAACGATGCACCATGTGATTTGTTTTATACAAATTGTAATTTTGGGAAAACACAGCGATGTCGGTGCAGGTGAAATAAGCCAACGTTTCGGTTACCGCGGATAACCTTTATCAAGGCGACTTTTACAATCGAATGAGTCAGGAACAGTTTTGCCAACTAGCCTCTCACGTACTGCGTGTGTGTGTGCGTGCGTGCGTGCGTGCGTTTGCATATACCTCTGTGTCCGTGCCTGTGTGTACATCACTGATCCGGATCGGAGGTTGGGCACATCCGTTTGTTCAATGTTTGTCTGTGGGAACGGGGTTATCTGAGGTCAAATCAGCGTTGGGACGAGTGCTGGCAAGTGATGTTAATGCTGTCCAGATGCTCGAAACCCCTGTCCCGTCGTTTCTGTTTACACACTCAGGATGGGCACTAATTGCCAAAGCCTCGGCGTATAGGCGCCCGGTGTTCGTTCGAAAACCTCGTTGAAGAATTTTCGTGTTTTCGTAATCGATACGATGTCCTTCGGCAATGGCATGAAGTGCGATCGCCGAATCTCGTTCGAGTTTGTTGAGCTGTGCGGCATTAGTTGGTTAGTTGATATCGCTTTGATTTTATTCCTCTATCTTTCTGAAGAGTTTGTTGTTATCTACTGACTTGACCATATGGGTACACTGTGCTTTTCTCAGTTATGGCAAACATTCAGCTCTAATTCAGTTACATACAACCAACGTGGGAGTTTAAAAGACCAAAGTAAGGTCTCAGTAGAAGAGCCTTATAGCAGTTAATAACTCTAAATAGTTTTTTCTAAACCACTTCGCGGTTGTAGGAAGGTACACGAGGGTTTTTAAGAAGGTAAACGTGGAAGAACAAGATAGGAATATGTTACTATGCTAGACGGAAATATCCATGTACAGTTAATGCGGATAAAACGTGATTTGATATTATCCCAACAAATAACAGATAGCGTATTATTTGTATTGTAAAAATGTGTCACATCCAACATACAAACTATTTTTAGATACCCTCATTTTTTCGCGTTCGCATCAAGTTTTCGCATTAGCCGCTTACTCTCATTATTTATTATTGTTTGTAATTTCTTCATTAGGTCGAATAGAATTAGTAAACTAATCAGTTGCATATTGTTTTTTCGGCACCCTTGATCTACACCTATAGTCTCATGTTAAAAACGGGACCACATACTGCTAGCACTGAAAAGCGATGAGACTTCTGCAAATAAGTAATTTACCTTAGCGCTCCGTCGGAAATGAATTCCGAATCACATTTTTACTATTCCATACTTTTGTTCATTTGCGCCTGAACCCGGAATTTATTGTTTTTTTGCGTTTGTTTCCAATACTCATAGGGACAAGGAACTGGAAGGTAAACTTAACGTTTTTCTGGACAATCAAACCAAATTCATTACAATCGAGTCACTATTGGAGGTGAGAGCGTTTTCACTTTTCCTGTCTCGTCGCATGATTTGCCCGCATCATTTTAAATCCTTACCGCATATTTTACTCTCGCTTGAATCAAGTTTATCGCTTCATTAGGATGTGTTTAACAAGCCGGCTTTGATTTCGTTCACGAACTTGATTTTTGTAAACTACTCCCCAGTGACCTAATCAAAGAACATCTTCCTAAGCTTGTCATGATTTTAGAGCTCGAAATTCATCTAGTGATTTGCGTTCTATGCGGTTCCCCGCCAAGACCGAACATTCCAATGCTTTTGCAGGGCGTTGTTTAACCCGATCATCGGCTGTCAGTGCTCACATCTCACATTTGTCTCTCTGAAGCTGAAATCTATCCTGTCATGAAACGTACTGTTCAAAGCGAAGAAGACTTGATAATCACAATACCTGCTGTATCCAGGAGATTCTACTAAGGTGCGCTCAAACAATCAGAAATTTTCGGGACGCAAATTGACGAAAACATTCGGAGTCGCCCAATGAACTCGTGAGGCGTCGACAGAATAAAATGTCTTTATCTCCACGGTTTTATCCGTGGTGGTGGAGGGGGGGGGGGGTATTTGAATTCATATGTTCAGCTGAGGTTTGTTTTCTGTTTCCAGTCCTAATTCAGTTATTTATCGAAAAGAAATGGACTGGCTGAGGTTTCTCTCGACGAACGTCTATTGAAAGAAGTATTCGCCGCAAAACTAGATAGCGAATAATACAGTGACGCGTTCCTGTATGAACGCAGATGACAATTTCCCCCTGGTAATAAAAAAATCATGGAAATTCTGTGAACAACGTTCAACAAAGCAAATAGCACTGCTAATTTAACGTGCAATTTTCTCTATGTTAATTCCATGAGGCTTTATGGAAACAGGTTAAAGCGATGAAAATGTTCGTAACTAGCATAGACGGAATATTATTTTTTTTCTTGGTTTTGAAACTTTTAAGCTGTACCTGTGTATCTTTTGGTCCCCAATCGGATAATGTAGGAGGTATCTGCTCGAAGAATAATTTCGACGAAGAACTAGAAAACCTGTGGAAAATTCCGCTGAGTAATGGCCATCCAGAAGAATACATCGAGAGGAATTTCCTTGATGAATCTCAGAGGCCCCAGAGGATAGCTGCAAGGAAAAAAGAGCTATATTTAGAAGGTAATTTTAATGGCGTCTAGCGTCTAGAAGACAAGCTCCGTATCCCTACTTGCTGTTTCTTCAGGTGTACCATTCGTTAACCGGCTTGTAAATTCCATGAACCTTTAAGTTAAATTACCGGTTCTCACCTTATCCATGATCACCTGCCCAGTTTCCTCCGATTGTGTAAGCCGAATAACTAGGTAGTTGTCTCAAACAATCCCAAGAGCTCAATATAGTTTGCCTGAACACATACCTGAAAAACCATCTTGAGTGTATCTGTAGTGCTCCTTGCAGACACGAGACATTCGGCTGATAGGAGGGGACTCGCACAACTATTCCGACTAACCTCATGACTCTGAGCGCTTTCCGACTCGTGATCCAAAAGCATTCCTCGTTTCAACGCTTTCCCAACCACATATCATGATTCCTACCTTTCTGGTAGAGGAAAAATCTATTTACATTTTATAAAATCGGAATTTTCCAGTTGACTCGCCAAAAAGGCTCTTCAAACATCACCGTCCACGTAGGTGTACACAATATTTAGATCAACCTTATTGTCATTGCAGACCAATCGTGAGGAGTTGGCTCAAAAGAATCAGAAAATCGAAAATCTAGAAGCTCAGTTAACGGAATTGAAGAAAGTGTCAGTCCCACCCGGACCCAATGGAGTATGTCTTTGGTGTCCAGTTTTTTTTCCAGACACTTTGTTTTGTCAGTAAAATCGAACATTCCTGGTCAATCAGTTTTGTATGAGGTTCGTTATGTCCGACAACGAAACAACTTTGTACTCTGTTTTGCAGGATAGCGATCTATCTGTTCCAGACCTTTTCGTCAACTGATAGATTTCATTTATTCGCATGAATGTGTCATCGTAGCCTGTTTTTTTGACCAGTGGATCAGATATGAAGGGGAGCATTCAGATGCAGCTACTTATGTGCAGTGAAATCCTTCAAATAGCTTATTCTTACTTACTCCTTTATTTCTGTATATGTTGAGTCAAACACAAAGAGGGTATGTTATATTCTTTACATCGCACAATAGGATGTGCAGTATATTCAAAATAATAATGCGGTCTCTAAGCGCAAGTTGCTGTTGTGGTTGTCAGTGCATCCTCTTGATTTCTCATCTATTCGAACAGTCGAGTTTCTTTGGGCTTCTGCCCCTCGCTCATAATCTAATGCTACAATAATCCGTTCACCTGTTCATTTTCGACCCACCGAATGGCAACTGCACGTGATCTGAGTTGCATAATCCTAGTAGACAGATGTGTGCGCTAGATAACTAATTCTTCTCACCGTGTCCTCTGTCAGGATGCCTCAACAATGGATGGAACTGGCAGACAAGATCAAGTGAATCGTGATAACCAGAAAAATAGTGAGGAATTGGGGAAGGAAGTGTCCGTTTTCAGGGGTCAGTTGCAACTAGCACATGTAAGTGTTTATCTCCTTTTTTGCGCTGTTGTTTTCTACTGGTTAACTGTCTTTAGGTTGTATTCGTTCGTTCTGATCAGTTTCACGCGGCGGTTTTAATTGTTGCTTTTTGACTGCCTGTACGAAGGAGACAGATGTAAAAAGCTGAAGGCTGTGCCAGGTTTAAGATAGAACGTAATTGAACTAAAGTAGGGAAGACTTTCGTGTAGTTCCACAAGCGTCACTGCTTACAACTGAGTCATATCACCGGCTCAACTGCTGCAGCATACATTCGACCCTTCAAAGACAATCGGATGTTGCCACCTAATCATAGATATCTCGAATTGGCAAGCACCATCGGAGTCTTCCATATGCATGCCGACACTTCATCACTGATGCGTCTATTAGACGAGTTATAACTGTCTGAATAGCTAACTTGGTCCACTGTTTCTACCGCTTTCCCACGTAAAGCGAGGTTAGAAGCTCGGTCATTTTCGAATCGCAGAACGCAAGCCGAGCGTAGCTATATTAGCATTCAAACCATAACACAAAACTTGAAAATTACTTCGATGTTCATTTAGGAGAGCAGTTTCATCCGCAGACTCCGGATATGAGGACCTGCCATCTGGAAGCGCAACTATGGTGCTATCTTCGCCCGACAGGGTCGCTTCCAGAATCCCAGCCATCACGAATTTGAATACGAGGAAAGAGAGGGCAGCCCTGACGAACACCGATTTCGATGGTGAACTCGGGTGAGGAAGAGCCATGAACTGGAACTCGGCTTCAGCTATTCGTATAAAGCGATCGTAATAGTGAAATAAACTTTTCCGGTAAACTCTCCACGCTGAGGCCACACCAGAGTACAATGCTGTCGAGTGCCTCTTTTAGATCAATAAAGATCGATGATTATATGTAAGGAATGTTTGAGGGTGAATATATGGTTGTTGCGGCTTTACCCAGATTTGAAGCGGGTTAATTCTCGCGTATGCGCCGTGTACATGCGATAAATAATGGAATGAGATATTTTGGAATGATGTTATTTTATGGTTTTCACAAGAGGATCTGTCATCGCTCTTATAAATCGGCAACATGACCGATTCACATCCGATTGGTTAGTTTTTCCTCCGATCCCCTTCTCGGTTAGTGACCGTATTGTCGTTTCACCATGATATTTGTTGTCTTTCAGCTGCATGATACCTTCCGCCCTCTCATTACCCATAGGTCTGATTATTGATCCGGGTCTTCATGTAAATTTGTGGGTATCTGAACACATTTTCTTACGACAGCAGATGTACGATCAGGTCTGTACTCCCATCTTTAATTTGTCCCACTCACNATGCAAAGTTAGTTATTTGGAAAATAACTGGGAGCAGGTCCCCTTTGGTTAATTGTTGTTGCATCTTGGGAGCATGCTACACTTTGGTTTGGTAACAATGCCGCGCTCCTTACTTCCTTATATTCCTTATTTACTTCACTTCGTTCGAGAAAAGTTTACCACTTCACAACGATCAAAACCACTAGTTTCAAATGTCAGGTTAATTGTTTTAGACACAGGTCGGAACAGCACAGAACCTCCTCATCAAAAGCAGACACCTACTAAAGGGACTGAATTAAAAGAATAAGGGGCAAGTTGATCTACCTTTTCCTCTCGGAAGAATACTTGTGTGAGTGCTCTGTGGGGTTATCCATTGTCTCTCAGTTTTCCGGTTCTACACAGTTAATTGTGTACAAAAATTGACGCAATATAGCTGTTAACCATTTCTGTTGGGAAGGAATTCTCATCACTTGATCTGTTGCTGTGTTGGCCAGTTACTCGCGTTATGTGATGGGCACAGCAATAAGAGTAAATGTATTCTACAATGAGTAATATGTCAATTACTTGACAAAATTTCCCTGGAAGCACACGACCGATTTTGCGGCTGTTGCCAACCGTCAGGTATGCTTATCCGGCAATCTTTTGTGAGTTCATTCATATAGTGGTACTCGGAAAATGGATTTTTNATATATATATATATATATATATATATATATATATATATATATATATATATATATATATATATATATAATCATAGGAACGAGTGACTGGTTCTGTCTTGTCAAACTAATTTCGTTGCCGCTATGTGATCGGATAAGGATGTGGTCTATCTCCATTTCAGACTTTCATTACAATCACTAATTTCTGACCTGAAATCTGCGGATTGTGAACCGAAATTTAACTCAGCGTGGGTTAGTATGATTTGTAAAAGTTTGTTGCCACGAGAAAAGTCAAGTGCCGGATTATTTGACACTTGTTGTCGATACGCGACCGACTCCTTTTTTCTTTTAATCCCAAAGCATTCGTAGGTTACTGAAGCTCCATTGCTTTATTGTCAAAATCCTTTATAGGACGAGATCGCTAATCTACAAGCCCAATTGGAAACGTTGAAAGTGGAAAATCTCGCTGTAGCCGCGTCAAAAATCTCTTCACTTGAGGTAAGTCTACTTGTAAGAAAACTTCTTCATATTCCTTCCTCGTTGCCGTACTTTGTGTCACGCGATCGTGGCCCAAAGAAACGAAGTAATTTACCAAACGGTTGAGTGCAGTGACAGTTTTCTTTCAGCGAATTATGGTGATATCGCTTTAGTAATTAAGTATGTACCTAGATTTGAGCAACATGCACTTGTATGCAATCCAATGGCTCCATATTCAGTTCGACGGTAAATAAGTTGCAATCTCATTCGGTTAATCAGTGAGATTTTACCTTGTGGAACCCAAAATGGGATACATTATGCATAATCTGGGAAATCCTACAAGAAACTCTTTGATTCACGCAACCCCGCATAGGCCGTGTAGCTAATCGTTTTCACGCCTAACCCGCGGATTCGCGATCCATGTCCTAACAGCTGTTCAGTGCTTTTAAACGGGTATCATCCACCGAGATCCATTGCCAATCGAAACGAGGAAATTCTTTTGAACGCTAATGCTCAGTCAGTCGTGCATAATAATAGATCCTTCTGATTGGTTTGCGATGATCGTAGTGAGAAGCTGTCTTACTAGTTGGGTAATGTAACTCGATCAAATGGTCTGTAATCTCCTGTTTACCATACGTGTGGTATAGCTGCCGTTGGCCTTATAGAACAGTAATAAACGGAACGAATTTCAGCTTTGGGACTACATAATTCTAATTCAGTTTGCAAAACTATTAACCCGTCACTTCAGTACTTCGGTCTCCAGTGTTGTCGGATCTGATCGATCAATGATGAAAAAAATAAGAATGAACTTGAAAGGGTTTTATCGAAATAGAGATGTGGAATATATGGAAACAATCAGTCGCGTAATGAAAGTGAGTAGGTGCATGGGTGTCGCTAAGCAAGTCTTGGGATATCAGGTCATTGATTATGCTAGTTCCGAGGTCCATGATCGGAAAGTGAAACATAATCGGCATGACCCAATTAACTAAGTACGGTTTTCATTACTTTCATTCTCGGTCATAATCTGGCCACTGTTATCACCACCTGCCCCGGAAACATTACACACCAAGAAAGTGCAGCTGGTGACATATTATATTTATCACTGGTCACAATTTCATGGAGGTTATGGATTTACATTAATGCACAATCTCGACTATTGCACGTCCAACTTTGATACGGTTCATCCGGTTGTTGCATCAGACCCAGACAATGTGTGGACAACAATAGTTTTCGTTAATCTTTTGTACGTAACAGCGGCGTCTCTTTGCCATAAATTAGGACTGATTGGACTCGGCAGATAAACGGTTTTCATTGCGATGCCTCAAACATTTCAAGTTGGAAGCAGTGTTAGGCGTATCTGATAAAAATAGTCGCTGGTAGACTATTATGTCTGTCCCTTGAAGCATGTTTCACCTCCATTATTCGTCCCATTCTCACCAATGGCTCCGAGGAAGTGAGGCGCGCACCTGAGGTCACATCCTGAAAAATCCCTCAATAGATGGGATATACCAGGTTGAGGGTAATGAAGCTTAGACTCCCCGTCTTCTCCGTATTAGGTGGGCACCGTCAGTTGTTTGATCCAAAGATCTCAAAGGAAACTCGTCCACGTAACAGGGATATGTGAATCCCTAAATTGAATCCGCATCTATCGACCGATCAATAAGCTAAGGGATAGCCGTCAACCGTGCACAATACGCTCCCGCTTGGCAGTTCACACTTAAATGCTCCTTCAGGAAAAGCCAAATGACGCTCAAAATATCCGTTGTATTTAATTCCTATTTAGTTTCGTCATCTTCATGGAACCGCCTTCTCCGCTTCGATGTGAAGTACACGTACGTTATTTCAGATAGAATTTGGGTAGCGCTCGACAAAGTGCACTGGATAACTTTTTTTGTCAATATTGGGATTAATCTGCAGTTCGCATCATTTGTATGTGATTGCCGAACTGGGAACCAAGGCTCCTACATCTCGGTTACACAACCCGTTTGGGCGCATGGCTGCAGGCATTAAACATGGTCTTCGTAATTCCATACCAATTCACAAACTTGGGTCTGTATGTTGTTGTTCTTATGTGGGTCTCACTCCCCCAGGTAATTCATTTAATCCCCCAGAATTACATTTCGTAGGTCAATACGAATTCCCATTAAATCATAAAGATCATGTTCAAGGTTAAAATAAATAGTGAACCAATCTTTTGTAAACCGAACGAGATTGCATTCGCTCAGCGGAATATCTTTCTATTATCCACATCATTGCCGGCAGTACAGTGTTATCTGTACACTTGAGGTCGGCGCCCTTTCTAAATGAAACCTCCTCTACGTCTGGCAGGATTTTTGCATCGAGTTACCTTTGCTGGTGCGCAACTGAATGCAGTATCACCATGCCCGGCGTTTTGTTTCGTTTATATTTTCACATGAATGGGGGTATTTACGCTTGTGCATTGGTTACTTTACACAACGTTTTAATCTCCCATTCCCGTAATTTCCTTAAAATACTTCACACCGGTCCAGACTGAACTGTCCTCCGCGCGTCAAGAACTAGATGCAACTCGTGCTGCCTTGGAAACATCCAAAATTTCTTGCACCGAACTGACAAAACAGTTAAATTTTGTTCATTCAAATGTTTTACCCTGTGTCTCCACGGGATGCCAAACGGATGAATATGTGTCAAATGAGCAACAGGTTGACAATCAAGTGAGTCTAAGCTTTATAAGAAAATGCTCTATGCTGCGCATTGTTTTGACATCTTAAAAATCTTAAACCAGTCATTCTTGTTATGTATAGTGTTTTTGTATTCACAATCCTGAGTGGAGTTCGATTCTTACCGTCACATACTACTAACGATTTCCGAAATTCCTTCGAAAAAGACGCGTGGATTTCTCTCTGGATTCCTTCGATTGGTTCTGTCTACTCGCATGATACTATCGGTTTAAAATAGAAACACTGAAAGAATCTCACCCCACAAGATGCTCTCTCTCTTGCAAGTTGGTAACTATCCCACCCCTATGGCCGCTTAGCAGTGGGCAATTGACCTCGAAATCACACTTCAGAACAGTTTGGCACAGCAAATGGTGCATTCACTTTTTTGGCAAAGGAATTTGAAGGTTGTTGTTTCACGAGCAACTGATAATTCCAATTGCCTTGCTTCATGTGTATGTCCTGTTTGTACCCAACAACAGGACTGAAGTTGGATTCGCATCTGTAACCTGTAGGGTATTGAATATTAAATTGCAAAAATCATCACAGTTAGCTTTATGTATTGTGTATGCAGGGTTTGCCCCGGCTGTCGACCGCATAAATTCCTGTAACTATATGCACCGTACAGTGATTTGTATGAGAGTCAACCAAAGCAAAAAAATACCACCACCTAGAAACACGGGGCACCAATTTTACGAGGTTTTGTTTCTTTCAAATAACCTGCATTACACTTCTTATTTTCCTTTTTCCCTTCGTTTCCCATCTGTCACACATCTGTTCTCTATTCACCTTGCGTTCCCTTATTTGTATTTATCGTGTTCTCGTAACAATCAGCGTATTCGGTTTCACGGTTTTTTATTGTGATGCTTTTGACAGTGTCCACGTTTCTTCGCATTATTTTGATTGTTACAGTGAGGATGAGCGTATTGGTAGCGCTGGTCACGGTTCTGCGACGAGTATTTATCGATTGGCCCTAAACATCTTTCCACCGGAAGGACGGCCTCACAGATTGAAATGCTACCAGTTGAACAGGGAACCACTTCATGATGACTGCCGAATTTCAAGTGCCAGTGATGCTTTCCTGGATTGTTATATTCCACGTTTCTGTATTTGTGGTTTGAAGAAAACATGGGAATAATACGATTTTCGGTTTTTACAACCATTAGCCATGCACTTTCGTGCGCCCGTTTTGGTTGCTGCCCTTTTGGCACTGATTTGGATAAAAGAGTAGAATGGAGATTGGAAGATTGAGAGCAGATTCAAGGGGAAAGGATCTGTTTTTATGACAGAAGGATCATGGGGATAAATAGATCAAGAGAGGGAGAAAGTGCATTCGAAGCACTTGGATAAATTAAGAAACAGTCCAGAACGAACGGAAAATTCGTGGATATGCAATAGTTTATTCGAGAAATTTAGAAGATCGTCAAGCACAGAAACGGCTTCGCAGAGGGCTACGTCATCAGCATATTTAAATAATTGGGCTGGAGAACTCGCTGACAGAACACTGATGTAAGCGGAAAACAAGAACCGAGACAATACGGCACCCTGTAGCACTCCCGAACTGTTCACGGGTGGTTTAGATGCTTTCCTACCGAGTATGCTGAGTTCTGTTTGTAAAGTGGTCGATAAGCCACGCCAGTAGGTTCTTGGGACAGCCAAATGATTCCAGTTTACGAAGGAGGAAGGAACGTGGAACAGAGTCAAAAGCCAGTGAAAAATCTAAGAAAACACATCTTACAGATTTCGCTGATGCGTCTAAAGATTTGGTAACGTGATGAACGAGGGAGGCAACAGCATCCAAAGTGGACCTGTTTGATTTATACGCAAACTGGAGAGGGTCTTTAGGGGTACTGAAGAAAGCAGAAAGGCGTTTGAGAATGGCACGTTCTGACAATTTAAGACCGCACGACGTTAAAGCAATAGGAAGGAAACATTTGGACAGAGTGCTGGATCTACACGGTTTTGGAATGGGTATGATCGTGACGGGTCTCCAGCAATCGGGAACAGAATACGAACTAAGTGATGTGTTGAGGATGGAAGTAAAAGCATCCGTTAGAGCAAGGGCACCATGCTTCAGAAGGAATGAAGATAGACTGTCGGGACCAATACCGGTGGATGATTTAATTGTACGGAGGAGTTTAAATATTTCTTCTCTCGGGAACGGGGTTATATTAGTAGCGTCTTCCGGAATCCATGAAACGGGAGGATCACTATTCGGNGGATGTGCAAATGCCGGATTTATACTCTCAACGTCCACAATGCATTTATTTGGTCTGGATTTAGCTTCACATAGGATCCGAATTCCTTTCCATAGATGTCTGCTGTTTTGGCTGCATTGGAGTTGATTCCCATAGGCTGAGTCGATACGTTTAATTTCTTTTTTTTTATCAATGTAGAAATATAAC